CTATGACAAACGTCTTTCCACATGCTTGTTGCCACCTCTCTATCCTCTTCTATGACATGTCTGTTCTTGACCATTGCTCATTTTCTCAATGTATTAGTTTTGTTTTCCTTTTAATGTTTAGAGTTCCTGTTATACTGTAGATACAATAGTTGTTCACTGGGTATTTAGTTTTCAAATATTTTCTCTCTGTTATTTGTTTTTTTATCCTCTTTAGACAGTTTTGCAAAAGAAAATATGAATTTTGATGTATTAACCTTTGGTTTAAAAATCATGCATCTGGTGTAATCAAGATTTTTTTGCCTAACTCTAGATCCCAAAAAATCTCCTATGTTTTTTTCCCCTAAAACATAAAAAAAGAAAAGAAAAACGTACCTGAGAGGTCCATAACCAGTTTCACTGTGTCTGATCATGGAATCTGGCCTCTGGCCTCTCATACAACAGCGTGACCACTGCCCCTATAAGCACTCCCCGCCCCCACCCTGTGGATGACCTCATCACTAGACAGGGTGACTGAGGGGTCTCCCCCAAACTCATAGTGGAGGCTGGGGGCTCAGCCTGAAGTGAGTGTGCAGGTACTGGGTCAGGTTTCTCCCTCAGCCCCACAGAGAGCTCTGGGGAACCTAGGTACAAGCCTGGGAATATGGGCCCAAATTTAAATCCTCCAGAAGTTCAGCTGTTCTCTGCCCAGTGGGAGATACTCAACAAGCCACAAAAGGAAGGAAGTAGATTTGCATGAGGACTCCTTCACCCCTTTCTTGAGAATAAGAGAGGCACAGAGTCTACTTCATGAGCTGTGGGCTCAGAAGCAGAACCTGTGGCGTCTCCACCATGGCCTGGACCCCTCTCCTGTTCTCCCTCCTCACTCTCTGCACAGGTACAGATGCCAAGGCCCTGCCCACGAGCTTAGCACCCACAGGACCGTAAGCTGGACCTGCCCCAGACCCTGCACTCAGTCCAGGCACAGACTCAGGATAAAACCTACTGGGAATGGGTCTTTATCCTCAAACGCCCTCTTCTCTCCTCTCCTGCAGACTCTGTGGCCTCCTCTGAACTGACCCAGTCGCCTTCTTTGTCCGTGGCTCCAGGAGAGACAGCCAGGATCACCTGCACTGGAGACTTTTTGGAGAAAAGATACACTAGCTGGTTGCAGCAGAAGCCAGGCCAGGCCCCTGTGCTGGTCATTTATAAGGACAGTGAGCGGCCCTCAGGGATCCCTGACCGATTCTCTGGCTCCAGTTCAGGAAAGACGGTCACCCTGACCATCAGTGGAACCCAGGCCGAGGATGAGGCTGACTATTACTGCCGGTCGAGCCCGAGTGATAATACTACTCACAGTGACAGAGGCAGATGGGGAAGTGAGACACAAACTCCCTTCCCCATCTGTGTCACACTGTCCTTTTGTCCTAGGAGGAGTATAGACAAAGCCATGAGTAGGTCTGGCCCAAGTCTCCAGATCTGAGATCCCCAAGCTGCCCCCTTTTCCCAGCCCTCAGGGAGCTCTGCAGAGGCTGGAACAGGAGTGGACTCAGGGCTGGCAGGACCACGCTGTCCTGGTGTTATCTGGGCCTGCATGTGAGTTGGGGACAGAAGGTGTGAGTGGAAAGAAACATGGGGAGACATACATCCAGTGGTAATCGACACTAGATATCAATTTGATGGTGACTGGGACACTCATTGGTCCCATCCTGGATTAAACCCTAGAACTATCCAGCTTATCAGAGTTCATGAAGCCCAGGATCCATGGCAGCCTGAAACTCTGAACAGAGTAAGCCAGTGCATTAGACAGTGTGGAATCCACCAAGGTCCCCTCCTCACAATTGAACCACCCTCCTACCCCTGGGGACCCTGGCAGCTCACCGATGTGCCCTCACTGAGAAGTGCTGTCATTGAGGAGGGCTATCTCCCCCAAGGTCATGTCCCCTCACAGAGTGTGGCTCAGTCTAAGAACCACCTGAGGGCTAGATGCCAAGTCCTTGCCTCAGTTCAGGATGACTTTGCAGGGCCTCCCAGCTGAGCCCTCAATTGTTACCACATTACAGGCCACGCTGTCTTGCCTCACATTTACTTCCAGGAATATCACTCCAAAACCCTACTGCATGAAATTCTCCCTCTCCCAGTGTGCTTTCAGGGAACTGAACTGGAAATATTCATTTGTTCTGATGACCACATCCTGGAAACAATCTTCCTGAGGTCAAAAAGGAACCACCCGGAGACACCAGAAGGCATTGGCAGAGCTCACACACCAATCAGAAGTCATGCTTGTCCCACAGTCAGAGTGGGAAGGTTCCTAACCAAGGCATCAGGTTGACTAGTCAGAAGAGCTTTGCCTCAGTGATAGGGAAATTAGCACAAGACTGAATGCTGCTTTGGTCCCACTTAAGAAAATGTAAGAGCAAGTTTCCATTAATTTTACAATTCTAGAATAATATAGAATAGAAGACAAATATATATATATATATATATATATATAGATATATATATATAGATATATATATATATTTACACACACACACACATATTATTCCATAAACAGGGAAACATTCACAAGGCCTGGAATCCTATCAAAATTATTTCCTGGAAGGAAGCAGGAAAATATGATCCATAATAATAAAAAAAAATCAATCAATTCAAACTAACCATAAAATCTCACAGGTGATTGAATTTGTTGGTAATAAAGCAAAAGAAGTTATTATAACTATATTCTACTTTATCATGAGGGTAAAGGAATGATTGACTATGTTAACTGCAGACTACGAAGACATTTAAAAATTAAAACACCCAAGTCAAACTTTTAGAAATGTACAGTGTCTGAGATTAAAATTCCACTCGGGGTTGACAGCATATTAAGCACTGCAGTGGAAAAAAAAAGTGAATTGATGACACAGAACTGAGACTATAGAAAGAAATGAAGCCACAAAGAAAGAAAAGACTTTGAAGAAAAAAGAACAGAAGCATCAGTGTGTGATAGGACAACTTCAACTACCCAAATATACATGCAATTTCAGGCTTTAAGCAAATAGTTTAGGGGGGGAGTTGGAAAGAAAAATATTTAAAGAAATATTGGCCAAAAATGCTCTAGTTTTGGTGAAACCTTAGAACCCACAGATCCAAGAAGCTCAACAAACCCCAAGCACAGAAAACATAAAGGAAACATCAACACACATCATAATCAAATTCCTTCCAACCAGTGATGCAGAGACAATCATAAAAGCAGCCATAGAGAAATGATGTTCTATACAGAGAAGAACCAGAGCGATCAGAGTAAATTTTTCAATGGAAGAAACAATACCAGGAAGAGAGTGGAGCAGTGTCTTTAGAATACTAACAACAAACAAACAAAAACCTGTCAACTTTGAACTCTACCCAGAGAACATCTCTCAAAGAGGAAGGTGAAATAAAACTTTCGTGGACAAACAAAACTTACAGAATTGATCACCAGCAGAACCTCAGTACATGAAGGAACGAAGGGAACCGCTCAGTCAGAAGGAAAGTGAACGAGATAGGAATGTGAATTCACACAAAGAGATGAAAAGCATCAGGTATGGCCACTATGTGGATAAATATAGAAACTTTTCAATATATTAAATTTTACAGAATATATTACCGTTTAATGCAAACAACAATAACAATGTATGTTTTGGTTTATAATGTATCTTAAAGCAAAGATATGACAATGTTAGCATGAAGGTTTGGGAGGAAGAACATGCTTTAATGTTGCTATGCTGTATGTTAAGTGATAGAATATCACCAGAAGGTAGACTTTGATAAGTTGGATATGTCCTGTAGACTCTACAGCAATCATTAAAATGTACCCTTTGTTGGCAAATAAGCCAACAAAGGAAATAATATGAAAATATAAAAATATATTCAGTCATTTAAAAAGATACAGAAAAAGGGAAAGTTGAACAATGAGCAAATGGGACCCAAAAAACCAAACTGATGAAGACGGTATTTTCAACAGAACTATATTACTAATCACATTCATTGTAAATAGTTAAATATCACATTTAAAAGGTAAGTATTGTCAGATTGAATTTTACAGACTCTGCCAAATGCAGCCTACAAGAAACCCACTTGAAATTTTATAACCACAAAAGTCTAAGTGCAAACTCAGGACATGTTTCCAACTCCCCTGTCTGCTCCCCAAAGAAGTTCATAGAAAACCCATAGGGCACAGGCCTTGTAGCTACAGAAATGCCCTTCACCTCTCCCACCTCTGCCACCCCAGCCTCCAATACATATGTCCCAGTGTCAAGGCTGAGGCAAAATGAGGCACATATGAAAGTCTGACAATTAAGTTCACGAACCCATCCTAAAAAGGTGCTACAGACCTCATTGATGACTATCACCACAGTCATCGTGGAAGTGCTTTCTTTGGGAACTATGCACTGATGCCAGCGCCTAGTCCACCCTTCAAAGCAATTTTGGAACTCTTTTTCTAGAATGGCCATCAGAACTGTTGTCATACTATCCTTGATGTCCTGAATGTCATCAAAATGTCTTCCTTTCAATATTTCCTTTATCTTTGGGTAAAGAAAGAAGTCATTGGGGGCCAGATCAGGTGAGTAGGGAGGGTGTTCCAATCCAGTTATTTGTTTACTGGCTAAAAACTCCCCTCACAGACAGTGTCGTGTGAGCTGGTGCATTGTCGTGATGCAAGAGCCATGAATTGTTGGCGAAAAGTTCAGGTCATCTTCGTCTAACTTTTTCACCCAGCCTTTTCAGCACATCCAAATAGTAAACTTGGTTAGCTGTTTATCCAGTTGTACAAATTCATAATGAATAATCCCTCTGATATCAAAAAGGGTTAGCAACATCATTGCAACAAGTTTATGAGCTTAATCGTCAGACCCCATATGGTAATTCAAGGTGACTAGTAGGACGATGAGGATATCAGTGGAAAGGGAACGAGGGAATGGAACTCCTCATAGGCACACAGGTATGGGGAGAGCTCCTGAGTGATGGTCCTGCTTGATACGTTATTGAGGATTTGTGTTCACATTCTTGGGAGATGTTAGTCTAGTTTTCCTTTGGTGTCATGTCTTTGTCTGGGTTTGGTCTCAGAGTCACAATGACCATAGAGAATGAGTAGGAAAGTGTTCCCTCCACCTCCATATGCTGAAAGATTTTATTTAGTGTTGCTATTCTTTCTTCCCTAAATATTTAATAAAATTTACCAGTGAAGCCATTTGGGACTGGGTTTTTCTAAGCAGGAAGATATTTAATTGCTAATTCAATGTCTTTCTTTGTTGTGGGTCTATTCATATTTTCTATTTCTTCATGAGTCAATTTTGATACTTTATGTCTTTCCAGGAGTTAGTCCAAGTCATTGAAGTCATCTAAAAAGTTAGAATTAAGTGTTTGTTACATTGCCTATAACCCTTTCAACTTTTGTAAAGTCTGTAATAAAGTTCTTTTATTTATGATTCAGGTATTTTCTGCTCTCTCTCTCTCTCTCTCTCTCTCTCTCTCTCTCTCTCTCTCTCTCTCTTTCTATGTCACTCTACCTAAAGGATTATTGATTTTATTGGTCTGTTCAAAAAGCCAAAATTTGGATTTACTGGTGTTCTCCATTGTTTTCCTATTTCTTATTTTATTGATATTCTGCTTAGATCTATTTTCTTTCTTTTTTCCTTTCTATTTGAGTTTGATATATTCTCTTTTTTTATTCATGTGGTGAAAGATTAGATTATTTATTTTCAAAGTTTCTTTCCAATGTTCAGCTTTTTAAGGTACAAATTTTCACAAATCACAGCCCTACCTGCCTTCCTGGAATTTTGGTATGCTTTGTTTTTACTTTTGTTTTTCAAAAATTTAGTATTTTCTCATTTACAAGTGTGGTAAAAAAAAATTACAGTGAATGTTTAAATTTTAAAAATTATTACAGTAAAAAACATATTGCCATGAATCCCCCTCAAAATACTCCCCCTCACTTTGAACACACATATCCCATCGTTCTTGGCACTTTCTGAAGCAGTTTTGGAAGTCCTCTTTTGTGAGTGTCTTTAGTTGTGCTGTCGTGGCTGCCTCAATATCCTGATTCAATTCATGGTCATTTTAACTTTGGAGAAGAGCCAGAAGTCATATGGTGCAAGATCCGGTGAATAAGGTTGATGCAGACATACAGTAATATTTTTATTTGACAGAAATTGCTGTACCAGAAGCGACGTGTGACACGGAGCATTGTCATGATGGAGGATGAAGTAAAGACACTCAAGAAAGAGGACTTCTAAAACTGCTTCAGAAAGTAACAAGAATGATGGGATAAGTGTGTTCAAAGTGAGGGGGAGTATTTTGAGGGGGATTAATGGCACTCTGTCTTGTACTATAATAATTTTTTTTTATTAAACATTCACCATATTGTTTGATCACACTTCGTATATTGTGAATTCTTCTTTGACTCATGGGTTACTTAGAAGGGCCTGCTTTAATTTCCAAATAATTTGTTATTTTACACATTTAATCAGATTGTCGATTTTAAGTTTAATTCCATTGTGGTCATACTTCATATGATCCAATGTTTTCAATTTAGTGGCCCTTGTTTAATGGCTACAATATGTTCAATTTTGGAACATTTTCCATATGTGCTTGAAAAACATTTGTACTCTGTTATTGTAGGTATAACAGTGTTTAACAAAATTCTCATTCATAATCTCTCCCTGTCTCTCTCTGTCTCTTTCTCTCCTCCCCTCATTCTTACCCTTCCTCAGAGATATAGATATTGAAATGTGCAAATCTGATTATAGAATTTTGTACTTGTCCTTTGAGAGAAGAAACACTTCAAATCATGAGTCCAATTGCTTTATGATCCTAAAAGTAGGCTTCCTGTGATTTCCCAGTACTCGCCAGGAAGAGAAAGGCAGAGTTCAAACCCCAGCTGGCAATGCCACAAGAGCAGGTAAAGATCACAGTAACGTGTCCCCACTAGTTAGGCTGATTGAGATAGAGATTTTGCATTTTTTTTTTCATATCACAAATTTGGCTAAGGTATCTGTCAGAAAATCTGATATCTATTTTCAAATAATACATGATACTCTAAACTAAGGTTGCTGTATACATATTAAATCTTAGCCCAGAGGGCACAAACCGTACCACCCAGCCTGGCCCTCATACTCCCTACCTCTGGTCAAGCTCTGCCCCAAAGAGCCAAGCTTGAAGTCCAGGACCCCTGGGCTCCACCCCTGGACTCACCTCCTCTTTTCTTTTTTCCTGGGGACTTAGTCTCTACAGCCCTCAACTTTGTCTGCTATGAAATGGAGAGTTTTATACTTAATTTTAGAAACTTTTTTTAAAAAAACAAATGGTACAGAGGAATGAAAAGGTCCTCCTGATTAAAGAGAGTCTCTGCAGGAACTCATTTGAGGCTCAGGTCTTGAATCTCCTGTCTGTCCTCTCTGGAACTCAGGACAGGGGATCAGCTGATTCCAGATTCTGATTTCTCTGTGTTGGGAATGGGCGCCCAGATCTGAATCAGCGGGATACTCCCAGTTTCATCAAAAGGCAGACGAGGCTAGTGTAGACATGCTCCCACTACATACTCTGGGAGGTGTGAGGTGAAATTAAAATAATGCTATTGACATGGTAATAATGGCAATTTAAGTGCACAATTGAGCTTCCGTGCCAGAAAGACCTTGGGACCCAACAGCCCTTATTGGGGTAAAGGGAGAGATAGTTCTGGTTTTTAAATATGCAGGAAGACTGGGTCTCCATAGGGTGTCACAAGTTCTATGGAACTTGACACTTTGCAAAAGAACAGTTTATCCTGCACCCTCCATTCTAACACAACAGATTACCAGCTAGGGCGTTTTGACCCTGGGACACAGTCACCAGAACTGCACCTCCCCGCCTCCCTGCACCTCTTATGTGACTTCTCTGTGTTGGGCTAGACAGGGCAGGGGCTCACACCCTCTCAGGTGATCTGCAGGAGGGAAGCTCCTGGTCTGAGTTCTCCTCCACCAGCAGGGGGCAGTAATGCTGCAGCCAGGAGCAGCCAGAAAGGAGGCTGGGGCTGCTCAGGTAGAGGCTAAGAGGGGCACCATTCCTGCGGTCAGCAGTGTCCAAGGCTCAGTGCAGGGACTGGATTTCAGGAAGTCGATCCCATCCCCTTGAGACCAGAAGAACACGTCATGAGGGCCAGACTCACAGTGTCAGCCTTGGACATTGACCGGACCCAGGCACGGTGAGCTCTTCACCTGAAATGCAGGTCATCTCACTGTCCAGGAGGGATCCCAGGGAGCTGACACTCTGTCCTGGGCATGTCCAGAGATACCCTGACCTCTCACCCTCTGCCTCTGACCTGGAGGCTGCAGCACTTTGGCTGAGGGTCATCTCAGGGAGTGGAAGGCAGCAGTCAGAACCCCTGTTCCCTGGATGGGGCATCACAGACCCTTTAAGAGACTCTCTGAGAGTGAAGTGGATTCTCACTCCTCAGCTCGCAGCTCTGACACTGGGCTGTCCTTGTTCAGTGACAGGATCTGCCTCAGTGGAGGGATCACTGACCATCTAGACCCTGGAACTCGCAACCTGTGCAAAGGCCATGACCCTGTGGACATTCCCAGAGAACGTGGAGCCCAAGGCTGGTGTCTCGGTCGGGGCTGGGGTTCTGGTCCTTATAATAAGCTTATGTAAAACGCTGATGAAAAATTTTTAAAGGAGTCACAAGTTGATAAGCCTATTGCTGACTAGCCAATTGTTGATGGGGCTGTCATAGAAAGTATACAAACACCAGGTATAAAATGAGGTGGAGTTGGTGTGAATCGTTAAAAGCAGATGGATATTTAACAAGAAAACCACCATAATTAAAATAACGAACAAACATTCTAACAACACAGAACTGTGCTTTAATGAAATGTCTACCATGGGGACAAAAATGTATGTGTTGGAGGGGGGCGTACCTAGAAAGGCACATGTGAATAAGGAGGACGAGGAGAGGAGGATGAAGAGGAGGAGGAGGAGGAGGAGGAGGACAGATTATATGGACCACCTCTGCTGAATCAGGTGTGCTCACTTACCTCTCAGAGGGCCCAGCTCAGCCCCATGGGCAGGTTCCTAGAAGCCGCACAGCCCCACTGGGTCAGCTCAGGACAGACCCCAGCCCAGGAGGGCTGGGACAGCAGTCATGTGTGCTCATACCCCACGAAGGTGACTGTGATTATGGAACTTAGAGTCCATGGCTGATTTGCTGACCTGATAAGCAGCTTAGAAGCTGGGATACTCCTCCCTTCCTCCTCAGCCACCTGTGGAGAGAATGATCTCTTTAATTCCTCCATTTGGAACCTCAGATGAGGAGTACATTTGCATAAACACTAAATGATCACAGCCCCAAAGGACTGAAGGGAATAAGAGACCCTGGGGGAGCCCAGCTGTGCTGTGAGGTCTCAGGAGGCACAGTTCTAGGGCATCATCAGCATGGCCTGGACCCTCTCCTGCTCCCCCTCCTCACTTTCTGCACAGGTGTGGACCCCAGGCTCTTCCTCCAGTCTCAGCCCCCACAGACCCTGAGCAGGTCTGCTGCAAAGCCTGAGCTCAGCCCTGACACAGCCTCAAGGCAGGACTCGTGGGAACAGGTCCTTCATCTTCAACCCCTCTCCTCTACTCTCTTGCAGGCTCCGTGGTTTCCAAAGAGCTGACCCAGCCACCCTCGGTGTTGGTGACCCCAGGACAGACCGCCAGGATCACCTGTGGAGGAAACAACATTGGAAGTAAAAGTGCTTACTGGTACCAGCAGAAGCCAGGCCAGGCCCCTGTGCTGGTCATTTATGAGGATAACAACTGACCCTCGGGGATCCCTGACTGATTCTCAGGCTCCAACTCGGGGAACACAGCCACCCTGAGCATCAGCGGGGCCTGGGCCGAGGACGAGTCTGACTATTACTGTCAGGCATGGGACAGCAGTGGTAATGCTCACAGTGACACAGGCAGATGGGGAAGTGACCCCCTTCTCTGTCTATGTCACTCTCTCCTCCAGCCTGAAGAGGACTGGCAACAGAGCCAGTCCTCTTTGTTGCCAGTCAGACCTAACCCAGGTGCCCAGATCTGAGGTCCCCAAGCTGCCCCTCCTCTCAGCCCTCAGGCAGCCCTGCAGGGGCTGAATCAGGAGTGGATTCAGGGCTGTCAAGAACAGGCTATCTGGAGTTGCCTAGTCCAGGGTGTGAGTTAGGACAAGTGACTGGGTAGAAAGACAGAAAGCGGGAGACATCCATCCATGGTCATTGTCCCTGCATTTCCATATGGTGATCACTGGGACACTCCTTCATATGAACAACTAGGGTTAGACCCCAGAATTTCGCAGCTCAACTAAACTCCTGAAGCCCTAGATTCATGGGACACCTTGGGATTCTGAGTAGAACAAAGAGTTGTGAACACTGTGGTGTCCACCTAGGTCCCTCTTCTGGACTCAAGCACCCACCACCACTGCTGGGGATCCTGGAAGTTCTCAGCGGTGCCCTCACTGGGAAGTGCTATTGGTTCAGAAAACAGATCATGAATCAGGTTCACGCTCTTCTCAGAGAGGGCAGTGTAATGACTGCCTGTGGCCAAGGTCCCCAGGCCCTGCCTCCATTAGGGTGACTGAAAGGTGACAGCTTTAGAGCCCCCTGGAGGAACCTGAGGCCTCATGTGTAATCACATGCAGGTCACCTTCTCCTGCCCTTGTCCCCTCCTTCACTTCCTTCCAAATTTCCTGCACACCCAATTCCCCATCTTAGAGTCTGCTTCCAGGGAACCCAATCTAAGAGAGAAAGCTGTCCCCAACATGGTCATCAGGGCTGAGGAGGCCACCATGCATCCACAGAGCTCTGGTTCTCACCTAAGTCACCAATGTGCATGTCATAATTCCCAGAAAGATCTGATTGTTCCTTGTATTTTATAGAATAAAAAAGAGCCTGACTCACTGGGTGCTCCTGGTTCTGAAAGACAGAGGGAGAGTCAGGTCCATCCTGACAGTGAGTCCAGAGGAATCGGGGCTGTCGCCTCTTCCTACCATGTGACCCAGCAGAGACACAACTACGGTGTGAGTTACACAGTGGGTGCTGCCTCGCTTCCACCCTCCAAATCTTGCACAAGTACCTCTCTTTAGGATGGGTTATACCCATCCTAACCAGAAATATAGAAAGTAATTCTGTGAAATACAGTTCAGCCTGTCAACGCTGATACTTAATAAGCCACCACAGTGTACCCTTGTCACTGTGAAACCCACTCACATCTTCACAAACCACACAATCTCCAAATTAATGAGAATAATGATAACCATGTTTCTACCTAGTGTGATGAAACTATCCCACAAATGACACAAACATGCTCTCCCTTTTCCACAAGAGGACGCACAATAGTAATTTGTCTGTTAGTGATGCTCCTCTCCTAGCCAATTCGTATCTTCCCTTTAATATCTTATAACTTCAATACTGACATATTAATATAAAGTTACCTGTTTTAACACATCCTATGTTAGATGACACCGGGATGAGACAGGGGAAGAAAGCACAAATATTTGATTACTATGTATCAATATATATCAAAATAAGGAAAAAAATACTTATTTCTGTATCCTCATTTCTGCAACAAGTCCTTTGGTTTGAGATGGTATCTGTAATTCCCTCTTCACTACCCATTCCCTGGTACCCTCAGCAAACCCTGAGTGAGTAATGTTTCCTTGCCAGGTGGGATGACCCAATCTTCATTCCAGTAAGGTTTTCGTCCATTATCAGTCCTGCTGAATTGGATTATTGTGATTTTATGGCTGGGATCACAGACCCAGGGAAGGTCATCTGTATTCCATACATCCTCCTGCTTACCTCAGTTGTGTACAAGAAGCCCAATACCCTTCAGAGTCAACATCAACGTACTTATCACCCTATTGGTTCATGAGGTGTTGATAGAAGATATTTTCTGCACTTAAATCTCCAGGACTTAAACAATTAGCAGATTCTTCCAGGGTAAAGATCATGAATAGGCCACTCTAGGTGCTTCTAATTTGGAGTGTTTTGTCCTTGGGGTTTCTGATCAGCACCAAAGGGAGTAGGGAGCTAGCTGCCCTCCCAGGCACCTGACCCTCCCCAAGTCCAGGTGCAGCAGTGCCCCCACAGGCATCTGGAAGAAGTGACAGGAAAACGTTACATCGATGAAAGCCCCAAAATTAGCTAAAGATTTTCCCCATTGCCCCTCCCCGATCCCCACCCCACTCGTGCTAGAATGTTGTCACAGTCCACAGACACCCATCCTCCCTGTGATCACATGTTCCCCCCTCTCATCCTTCGCTTGGAGAGCTTCCTGTCCTGCCAGACACAGCTGCTCCTCATCCCTGCCTCTGTGCCTGGCACACAGCAGCTGCTTCTTAGCTTTTGTTTTGACCTAATTAATTAAATTAAAAATTTTAATTCCTACTATATTTTTTCAAACTACAAAAGGCAACTTAATTATAATAAATGTTTGCTTGGGGTGCTCTTAGAATTCGCAGCCTTTCGTATACAGCAAGCATTTCTTTTTTCTTTTAAAGATTTTTATTGGTGAATTGGGGGGATGGGAACAGTGCTGGGGAATTGGGGGAAGGGGGACAGACAAGTTGCTGTCCTTTTGTTCTTCAGTCTAGTTGTGGAGAATGTTGCTTCACTGGCCCAAGTTGGCACCATCATTGCGCTCTTCCTGGGTGAGGCAGATCAGTTGCCGGCTTCTGGACGGTCGCTCACTGCGGCTGCTGGCCGCTCACGCTGGCTGCTGGCTACACACGGTAGCCCATGGCAACCCACTGCCACAGGGACTGCAGCCCATGCCGTCGCTGGTGACTCACAGCAGCCCAGCTCCAGGTTGAGCTGTTGTTCAGCATCTTAGCTGTAGAGGGCAGTGTCACTGGCCTTCATATGTGGGATCCGAACCGGGGCCCTCTGGCATCCCAAGCGAGTTCTTAACCATCGCGCCACTCGGCCGGCCCTACAGTAAGCATTTCTATCAAGCTCAAGCTCCTGATCCCTCCCTGGCCATGGCTGCATATTGGGGATACTGAGGCACAGCACCTATGGCCTGCCCCAGGAGCTCACACCAAGAGCAGAAACTTACAGCTACTCAATTGGTCTTTAAAAATTCCATGTGAACTTTGTGCTAGAGGAATTTGACATTGGGCTTTATAACTCAGGGGCTGTGATCAGGGGTAGAACCCTGCACCTATCAAAGCCTCATAGTGTCACATGCAGAATGGCTTCAGAAAATGCAGACAAGTCACCCCTGAGCTCTGATGGGGCCAGCCCTGAGGAAGACCAAGGATATCGTCTGGAGAGGAGATGTCAGCCCCAGACTATGGGACCAGCAGGAGAACAAGTCCTTTCCCTCCTCCCCATTGAGGGTGAGGTCTGTGGGGGCCACCCTGCCCTCTGTGTCTCTTGGGACTGAGTCCTTTTTTGAAACCACAAAGCTCCTCAGGAAGCACTCCTGACTCTGGCTGATTTGCATACCCAGCAGTTCTCTCCAGCAAAGAGATAAGAGAGGCCTGAGAGGAAATCCGCTCAGCTTCAGGGAGAAGAATTGGGGTACCTTTGCACCATGGCCTGGACTCATCTCCTCCTCAGCCTTCTTGCTCACTGCACAGGTGCTGCACCCAGGCTCACACCCACCCCCAGCCCCAAGGCTCTGGGAAAGCCTGGCCCTGACTCTGAGCTCATAGGGCACAACCTGTGGGGGCAGGATGCTCATGACCCTGCTGCAGGGGGAGGGGCTGTTGGAGCTGAACCCCCCAAAGAGCTCACTGGCTCTGTGTGAGACCTGAGGGGCTGCACCTGCCAGAGAAGGGGTTGGGGAGGCATTGGGGGAGGGTGCATCTCTTTTGTTTAGAGTCTCCATCCACCAGCCAGGCCCATGGGCCACTGGGGCGGAGATGGAAAGGGGTGAGCACCCTGGGTCCCACAGAACCCTGGAACTCAGTCCAGGCCAGTGAGGCAGGGGTCTCCTGGGATGGGTCCTTCATCTTCTAGCCCTCCTCCTCTCTGATCTCTTGCAGGCTCTGTGGCTTCCTATGTTCTGACACAACAGCCATCAGCATCAGTGGCCTTGAGAGAGACAGCCAGGATCACTTGTCAAGGAGACAGCATAGAAGACTATAATGTGCACTGGTACCAGCAGAAGCCAGGCCAGGCCCCTGTGCTGGTCATCTATGGTGATAGCAACCGGCCCTCTGAGATCCCTGACCGATTCTCAGGCTCCAACTCGGGGAACACGGCCACCCTGGTCATCAGTGGGGCCCAGTCCGAGGATGAGGCTGACTATTACTGTCAGGTGTGGGATAGTGGTAATGCTCACAGTGACACAGGCAGATGGGGAAGTGAGACAAAAACCACTTCATCTTCTGTTTCATACTGTCCTCTAGCCCCAGGAGGACTGGTGACAAAGCCATGAGCAGGCCTGGTCCAGGTCATATCTGAGGTCCCCAGGCTGCCCCTCCTCCCAGCTCTTGGGCAGCTCTGCAGAGGCTGGAACAGGAGTGGATTCGGGGCTGGCAGGACCAGGCTGCCCTGGTGCTGTCTGAGCCTGAGTGTGAACTGAAGATGAAGGGCGTGCTTGGAAGGACAGTGAGAGAAAGTCATCCATCCACGTTTATTGTATCTGCATTTCCATTTGGTCATCACTGAGCCACTTCTTTACTCAACTGACCAGTATTACATCTCAGAATTTTCCAGATCAGCTAAGCTTCCGAGCCCTGGCTCCCAGGAGAGTTTGTAATTTTTGGTGGAGCAAAGGAGTGCCATAGACATTGTGTGTTCACCTAGGTCCCTCTTCTGGGCTCACCCACCCACCATAACTGCTGGGGACCCTGGCAGCTCTCAGTGGTACCCTCAGTGGAAGTGTTGTTAGTTCAGAAAACTGCCTCCCAGGTTCACACCCTTCCCACAGAGGTCAGTGTAGTGAATATCTGGGGTCAAGGTCCTCAGAGCCTGCCTCCATTAGGGTGACTGAAAGGTGACAGCTTTAGAGCCCCCTGGAGGAACCTGAGGCCTCTTGTGTAATCACATGCAGGTCACCTTCTCCTGTCTTTGTCCCCTCCTTCACTTTCTTCCAGATTTCCTGCACACCCAGTTCTCCATCTTAGAGTCTGCTTCCAGTGAACCCAATCTAAGAGGGAAAGCTGTCCCCAATATGATCATCAGGGCCCGAGGAGGCCACTATACACCCACAGAGTTCTGGTCTCACCTAAGTCCTGAATTCAAGGTCTAACAGTTGAGTTCACAAGCTCATCCTAGAAAAAGTGCTGCATACCTCATTGCTGAATATCATTATGGTCACTTTTGAAGTATTCCATTTGAGAAACTATACACCAACGCCAGCGCCTAGTCCACCGCAGCAGTTCTCAACCCTCCTAATGCCATGACCCCTTAATACAGTTCCTCATGTTGTGGTGACTCCCAACCATAAAACTATTTTCGTTGCTACTCTATAACTGTAATTTTGCTACTGTTATGAATCGTAATGTAAATATCTTTTTGTTTTTCGATGGTCTTAGGTGACCCCTGTGAAAGGGTCGTTCGACCCCCAAAGGGGTCGCGACCCACAGGTTGAGAACCGCTGCTTTAGAGCAATATTGGAACTCTTTTTCTGGAATGGCCTTCAGAGCTGTCGTATTACCTTTGATGTTCTGAATGTCATCAAAATATCTTCCTTTCAATATTTCCTTATCTTTGTGTAAACAAAGAAGTCATTGGGGTCCAGATAGGTGAATAGGGAGGGTGTTTCAATACAGTTGTTTTGTTTTGTTTTGTTTTTAATTGGGGAATTGGGGGAGGGGAACACTGTTGGGAAACTGGGGAGAGAGACCAGCCAAATTGTTGTTCTTCAATCTTAGTTGTGGAGGGCGCCAGTCGCCATCTCTCTGCTCATCAGCAGATTGTGGCCTCTTAGCTCAAGGTGCTGTGTTACAATCTTAATTGCGGGTGGGCATAGCCACCATCCCATGTGGGAGTCGAACCCAGTCACCTTGTTTTTAAGAGCACACAGCTCTATCCACTGAGCCATCCAGGCGGCAGCTCAGCTCAAGGTTCCGAGTTCAGTCTTAGTTGCAGGCAGGCATAGCCCACCATCAAACAAGCAGCCTTGTTGTTAGGAGCATGTGCTCTCACCAGCTGAGCCATCCTGCAACCTGTTGGCAGCTCAGTGGCATCTCAGTTCGGGCACAGTATCACTGGCCCATGTGGGAATCGAACCAGCGGCCCTGTTGCTCAGAGCTCCTGCTCTTAAACTAACTCTTAACCAACTGAGCCGCTCAGCCAACCCTACAATTGTTTGTTTACTGGTAAAAAAACCTCCTCACAGGCAGTTCCATGTGAGCATTTCCATTGTCGCAATGCAAGAGCTCCTTCGGGACCACTTTTGCACACACATTTCTCATGCCAAGATTTTCAGTTAAGATTTTCCTAACTGTTTCTCTATAGATGTTTACTTGGTCTCACAGTCAGTCGACAATTTTGACACAATTCGATGAATATTTGCAATGTTTCCATCAGTTCTGCTCATTACTGACCGCCTTGACCTCTCTTCAACAGTGATGAGTTCTCTCCTCTCAGAAAAATATTTAATCCACGTGTACACTGCTGTTTTCTTCATGGCATTATCCCCATCAACTTGGACTAATATGTCCCTGATTTCACTTCCACTCTTGCCAAGTTTAACAAGAAATTCAATGTTTGTTCATTACTCTAATTCAAGCTCAGACATTCTAACGACGGCACACACAGAACACACAATAGTAAATGTCACTCAGCAGCACTCCGCCACACGTTGACACGGACACAGCTGTGAGACACTGATATACCAAGTTATGAAAACTTACTGAGCTGTTTGTACAGTGCTGCCAATGTAAGTGCATGGTGGCATGCACGTCAAAGTTCCCAGAGAGTCTGATTGTTCCTTGTACGTTATAGAATGAAAAAGAGCCTGACACACTGCGTGCTCTGGGTTCTGAAAGACAGAGGGAGAGTCAGATCCATCCGACAGTGAGTCCAGGGGAATCGGGGCTGTTGCCTCCTCCTACAACAAGACCCAGCAGATACACAACTATGGTGTGAGTTACACAGTGGGTGCTGCTCGCTTCTACTCTCCAAATCTTGCACAAGAATCTCTCTTTACACCCATGCTAACCAGAAATATAGAAAGAAAGTAATTCAGTGAAATACAGTTCAGCCTGCAAACATTGATGCTTTAATAAGCCACCACAACTCACTTCTTGTCAATATGAAACCCATTTACATCTCTACAAATATCATACCACAAATCAATAGAACACCGTAACCATATGATAAAACTATCCCGTGAACGACCAAAAACATGCTGACTCTTTCCCACAAGAGCATACTAAACAATCTTTTGTCTGCTAGTGATATGTATGTTCTCCAGCTGATTTCATATTCTATAACTTAAAAACAAAGTTAACTACTGTTAACACATCTTACGTTAAACAAAAATGGAATGAGAATAACACAAAAATATATGATTAATATGTAAGCAAATATGTACATATCAGTGTAAGGAAGAAATGCATGTTACTCCTATTATCCTCATTTCTGCAGCTAGCCCTGTGGTCAGAGCTGGTGTCTGTAATTACTTTCTTTTTTTTTTTTAAGATTTTATTGGGAAATTGGGGAGGGAAACAGCATTGGGGAATCAGGGAAGGGGCACAGACAAGTTGCTGTCCTTTTGTTCGTCAGTCTAGTAGTGGAGGACGTTGCTTCACTGGCCCATGTTAGTATTATCATTGTGCTCTTTCCGGGTGAGGTAGATCAGTTGCCAGCCACTGGATGGCTGCTCACAGCGTCTCTTGGCAGATCACGCTGGCTGCTGGCAGCTCACGGTAGCTTACAGCAGCCCACTGCAGCCCACTGCAGCCTACACCATCGCCGGCAACTCACAGCAGCCCAGTTCCAGGTCGAGCCGTTGTTCACCATCTTAGCTGTAGAGGGCGCAGCATCACTGGCTCTTATGGGTGATCTGAACCGGAGCCCTGCTGCTCAGAGCTGGTGTCCCAAGCCAGCTCTTAACAAATGTGCCACTCGGCCAGCCCTGTAATTACTTTCCTCCCTATCCATTCCATATCCTCTTTGCCTCAGCAAATACCTGAGTTAGTCATAATACCTTGTCAGGTGGGATGACGCAAACCTTCATTCCAGAAGGTTCTGGTTCATTATCAGTCTTGCTGAATTGGACGGTTGTGATTTTATGACTGATCACTGACCACAGTCTGGCAGCAATGGAGGGTCTCTTGCATTCCACACATATTCCTGCCTACCCCAGTTGTGTGGAAGAAACCCAGTGCCCCCTTCAGAGTCAACACCAACCACCCCACACAACACCCCTGACTTTCCCTGTGATTCACTGTCAGGAGGAGCCTGACAGTCTCAACCTCGAGTTCCATGCAATCATACAGAGCATAAAGTCTCTGGGATGAGAAGGGAAAGTCTTGCTCATGGCTCTTTAGGGATGATAATAAGTGGTGCCCCTCCCAGTTCCACCCCTTGATTTCCAGGCCCACGAATCCTATGGAAGATTCGGCCTATGGGACAAGCCACAGCATATATTAGACGTTGACTTGGAGCCCAAACAACCTCCAGGAGGACATTGCATTCACCCTGTAAGGGGCTGCCACCTACCTGGCCCTGTCACTGTGTCCTCAAAGGCCCTTCCATTTCAGTTATTGCCTCCTGTTGTTTTTCTAGTCCTATCAAGGCATCATAAAGGTAATACCAGAGGTGTAGAGACAGGGTGGGTGTGTTATTCCATACAAAGAATCTAGACATTTAACACCCAACCGGGGGAATACTTTGTGTTAATGCTAATTCAGTGTTGCCCAATGTTCTAGTGGTCAGAGGCCACTCCTAGACATGTGACATGTACACAGAACTGAAAGGATGATAGGATTTTGGCGGGTCTATGGTCTGAATGTTTGTGTTGCTCCCGATTTCATGTTGAAATCTTAACCCCCAAAGGTGAAAGAATCAGTAGATGGGGCCTCTGGGATGTGATTGGTCATGAGGTGGAGCCTTATAAATGGGATTGGTGCCCTTATAACGGAAGCCACATCCCTCGCCCTCCCCCACCCCGTGAGGGGGGACACAGCCAGATGGCTCCTGCTATGAAGCAGGAAGAGGCGGTCACCAGAAGGCAACCATGTTGCTAGATCTTGGACTCCCAGCCTTCAGGACAGTGAGCAAGAAATTCCTAATCTTTTTAAGCCGCCCGCGTTGTGTCCATTTGTCCTAGCAACCTGAATGGACAAATACAGAAGGCCTTGCGTGAGGAGGAGTGTCACAGGAGGTGTTTCAGTCAGAGGACACAACAGATGGAGACTCTAGGACAGAAAAGACCATAAAATGTTTGAGGAGATGAGGAAAGTGCAGATTAAGTGGAGCTGAGTGAGATCAGGAGAAATGTCCGGAACCATCTATTTCTGTCTGCACATCCCACTGAACAACCCCCCTCCCCACATACCACCCAGGGTCTTGTGAAATGTCTGTTCTTAAATATGAAAGTATTCTCCACATCATTACAGGGTCGAGCACCTGAATCAAGCTCAGCCTGATAAGAACAGGACAGTTAAGAACTAAGGCCCAGGTGCCCTGAGAAGGACTTGGGGACACAAGCAGGAGGAAGTGAGAGTTTCCATGGTGACATAGACCAGAGCTTCTGGAACCTCAGTGAGCACACATGTCCCCTGGGGTCTCCTAAGATGCAGCTGCCACTGCAGCAGGTCAGATGGGCCCGGGAACATGCATGTGTGTCGGGTCTCAGGGGAGCTTGTGCTACTGGTCCTCTGATGACCACACTGGGAGTGGCGTCACTCCTGCTCACCTGCTATTCACAGCTGAGGTGAGAGTCACCACAGGAAGGCACCACCTCTGAAGCACAGGGGACCTGCTTTCCCTCCCAAACAGGATTCGTGGGGTCTTGAACCTGCACACACCATGTCCACACCTCTCCCTCTCATCAGGATTAAGGATTCAGTCTCCTGACCCACCTCCCTAGGCATATGGGTTGCCTGGAGAGATGGTCACCATCTTCTGTGCCAGAGCAGCTGTGACATTGAGGGCTATAATCTTGTGTCCTGGTGCCAACAGCTCCTGACAAAGCTAAAGACAGAGGTCAAGAATCAATCATTACAGGGCCCACCAAGTGGCTCAGTTAGTTAAGAACCCGAGCTCTGAGCAACAGGTTGCCGGTTCGATTCCCAC